AAATAAGTAATTTTTATAAAAATAATAAGAAGAAAATAAGTAAATAAAATATAATATAAAAGTGTGAATCATACACTCATTTATATTTTTAATAAAGATAGAATTATATTACTTCTAAATAAAAAAAAACTTTTAATTATTTCATCTAATTAACAATTTTTTATTAAGCTAATTTAAATTTTTTAATGATAAGTTAATGTACAAAATAAAAATATAATAAGCATTTATTGTTATTAAAGAAAAAAACAAAGTTGAAATTGATTAGACAATTGGTCATTAAAGACTGTGGCGGAAATTTAAAAAATTAAAATAAATAAATTTATCAATAAAATTAAAAGATTTTAATTCACTAGTAATTTGGTAAAAAAAACTATCAAAAGTAATTTTTTCAATCCATTAATAGTTTAAACCTTAATAGTTATTTAGCAGTCTAATCCGCTAAATAAAAAATTTTGTTTACCAAAAAACTTATCCAACATCTAGTTTGAAAGAATTTAGAAATAAATAAATTTACTAAATATCTATTATATAACGATTTAGGCAAAATAACTAATTATCACCTCCAAATTGCTATACTAAAAAAGACCTTATATTGTTAAGAATATATTAATTATAGTTTTTTATTAATTATTATAAAAAAAAAAACTTAACTTTAATTTTCAATTAAAATTGTGTAGGTATCATTTATGTTGAAAATGAAATTAATTTTTATAATTAGTATATAAATTAATAAAAAAATATAATAATAAATTCTTAAACTATGTCATATAAATTAAACAAACCTTTTATAAAATAATTTGAGTTATTAGAGAGAGCCAAAAGCTCATCAACATATTTCAAAGTCTGGCTAAAAGTCTTTGAATAAACTAAACTATGTTGACAAGTAGGAAACCATTTTTCGGCAAAATGCGGCTGTCTTCTTCTAATAAGATGATGATATATAAGATTTCCACACAGAAGGAAAACATATAAGTATCAATGCAATAATTACCTTTTTCAAAAAATAAAAAAGGAAATTTAGTATAAAAGGACAAACCCTACAAATATGTTGATATACATTATTATTTTTTTCTCAAAATAATTGTTATTTTAATTTTTTTTAATTAAAGATTTAAGGATGATATTAATATTTGTCTATAATATTTTTTTAAAATAAATAAAAAAATGTATAATTGAATGATTAATTAAGTAAATGAATAATGATAGGATTAAAGTAATAAAAAAAGCATGTTATCTTAAAAAATGAAAAAAAAAAAAGACAATTGATTTTGGATTAATTTGAAATAAAAAATAATCATTATTTTTTAAAAAGCAATTATTATCAAAAAGGAGTTTTTTAATGCAATAATTGTACTTTTTTATATTTATTTGTATTTAAAATATAAAGTAAAAGTTAATATTAATTTCACCAATAATATTACATAAATTATTTTAATTATACAATTTAAAAAAGAAAGGCTAATTTTTATTTTTTAAATATCAATTACCCCCTTTATTTTAAAATAATTATTTTTTTACTTTTTTTTAATTAAAAATTTGAAAATAATTTATAGGGATTAGTGTTTATTTGCCTTATTTCCTAAAGATTATGAGGAAAATTATTTCAAAACTACGTAATTTTAATAAAGTACTATAGGAAATGATAAAAAAACACTTTAATTTATGCTTTAAAAAATGGTATTTTATTGTTTTTTACTGGAGATTTATTGAAACAACGTAATTTTGGAATGATTTTCTCTATGATCTTTAGAAAGTAGGACTAGATCTAACAAACGAGCGGGTTGGATCTGGTTCGGATTAGGTCAACTCGGGTTATGGGTTACGAGTTAGGTTTTGAACGAGTTGTGAGTTGGAAAAGTTCAACTCTAACTCGACCCTAACAAGTTACGGGTTAACCCGTGGGTTAACCTTATTTTCATTCTTTATAATTATTTTTTATTAATTTTATTATATACAAATAAAATTATATATATTTAAATCTAATTAAAATATTGTAATTCATTAAAATTAAGTGCTTTATAATCTCAACCACAAACAATTAAATTAAGAAAAAAATCATAAAGTTATAAATAATAATTTGATTAACAATAACAATATTAAACATAAAATATTTAAATTTCTTGAAAAATAAAATCTTAATTTTATAATAATCTTGAAATATTATGAAGTAGTTCAAGCCATTTTTTTAATAATGAAATTGCTTTTCTAAGAACATATTTCACAAAGTTATTATGTTTATGTCCTAATATCTCATCTTTTAATATTTTTAGTTGCATTATCATTTCATTCATGATACTTGGGTAATTGTTAATACTAAAAAAAAAAAAAATGATACTTGGATAATTAGATCAAACTCATCATAATTTCTTTGTCTTTTTCTAGAAATTAGGGAGTATGATTAATGGAATGAGTTACCAATAAAAAAATTAATTAAGGATAATAAGTATAATATTTAAAAATAATAATAATAAATAAAACAAACGGGTCAACCCGTCAACCCGTGAGTTGACTCTAACCCAACCTGTGGGTTAACCCTAACCCAACTCATGATCCGTACAGATTGATAATTTGGGTTATTTACGGGTTACAAGTTGGGATATGTAAACCTTAATCCTTTTTTACCGGTTGGGTTAGGGTCGAGTTGACGGGTCGGGTGGATTTTTGTCAAGTCTAAGTAAGACGGATAGATACTATTCCCTAATTTGTATATTTACTTATGTTACTTTTTTTTTTATATATATATTCGTTGCACAATGGGAGGCAACTCTCTCCCATCCTTTATTTCACCCTACCCACATACTATACGACTCGAAGTTAATACCTCTTACTTTCAATGAAAGAAAATTACCACTGAATTATTTAAATCGTTGGTTACTTCTGTTACTCTTAAAAAACAAATAATAGATAAAGCTAGACTTTTTTGATAGAACAAATAACTAATATAAGTGAATAATAATAAAGTTAAAGTAAGAAAAAATATATATTTACCTCACAAAATGAAAAAGATAATAATTAATTTCAAATAAAATCAGAGTTAAAAATTAACAATTATCTTAAAATGAAAAAACAAATATAAGAAAGGTGCAATAATTTCACTGCCCTAAATTACAAATTAAAAAAGAATTTTTTTTAATATATACCTTTAAACATAAATTAAAGGTTTAATTATTACACTATTTTCACTTTTATTAGTCAAAAAAATAAAAAAATTATTATTAATTTCATTACTAAAGTTATATAAATTATTTTAATTTGATAATTATTTAAATAAAAATTAATTTTTATTTTGTAATATTAATTAGTATAAAAATATACAATAATTACATTTTTAAGGTATATATTGCAAAACCCATTAAAAACCCAAATAAAAAAACCAAATAAGGAAAGATGAAAAGACCAAAACAAATGTCGGCCACCTGAAAATTCAACTAGATAAATTTGAGGGCTTTTGTTGGCTGAATGGCGATTTTTTTGTATAGGTTTGTTGGCTGAATGGCTTAAGATAAAACTCGAAACGAACCTAAAAACCCTGTTGAAGTTGAAGGTACATCAGATCAGACCTTAGTTCAAAAGTTTTTGTTATAGGAATTAATTAATCTTTTTGTTTAGATAGGTTAGGATGAAATACCACTTAATTACTAAATTTTAAATATGGATTTAGCAACAATATTATTATGTTAGTATTAAGTTATTTGATATTGCCTTCCATACATTTTATCAATGTAATACATTTTGAATTGGTCTATAACTCTTAGGAGTATGGCTTTGATATCAATAAAATTTATTTTTAATAAAAGTAAATTTTTTATTTTTTATATTTGAAAATTCATGCAAATAATTTTTTTTTATAATTGTGCAAAGTGGGAAATTAAAATTAAACAAATGTAGCCAAAACAGAAAGGAAATTTTGAGACTTAAAACAAAGCATTTTTTTACTTATTTTTTTAAGATATATGTTAAAAATATAATTAATATACTTTTTACTCATTATAAGTCATATATAAAAAATTTAAAAATTAATATTAATTTTATTATCAATGTTACGTATATTAATTTAATTGGTCAATTATTAAAATTAAAATTAAAATTTATTTTTTTATATTTTCTTTAATTAGATTTAGTTGTTTTAATATAATTTTTATATAAAGTTTGACTTGATAATTTTATATAATAATTAAAAGATAATTAAATTTATTTTTATTTAAATAACAATACTCAATGAATGTTGTGTATAAAAAATTTTAATTATTATTTATTTATTATATAAAATTATTTTATCAAACTTTACATACTTAAAATCTAAAATGAAATAATTAAATCTAATTAAAAAATATAATTTAATAATTAAAAATACACTAAATGCAGCAATGACACACTCTAGTATGATGCTACTTGTTCTTTGGTGCCACTTGTTCTCTGGAGGGTGTGTCATGAATTCAAAAAGATTAAGGGTGCCTTTGATGCAGTTCTTAAATGCTTCAATTTTTTTTTTTATATTATTTATATTTTATAAATTTAAATTTTTTTTAAAAGAATTATA